ATTCAGCCTCAGATTACCGTGATTCAGACTGCCATTTCTAAAACTCGTATAAGTGCTGAAAAAAAAAAGAAATTGGACGATTTAACCCCGAAACTTTTTATAGGAAAAGTCCCTCATATAAGCACGATGTACAATAGCCATTTTCATAATCTTAATTGTATATACAGTATGGGGAGGGCAAATGAACTGTTGCCGATTTTAGATATATTTTATATTCTTTTTCATTTTTTTTAAAATCATAAACTGTGTCAACATGGAACATACCAAACCCAACCTGTGTTACAGATAATGCAGCAAATGAAAAAAGGCTGTCGAAATTCTTGGATGGGAGCGTTCAGGCTGTTATGGACATCGTATTAATTTGATTGTAAAGAATGCACTTGAAGTAACTGAAGTAAACAAAATATTATGTAAATGTAGAAAATTAGTTGGACATTTTCACAAGTCAACTAGTTTAAATGATTTTTTGATTGAAAAGCAAACAAGCATTTTTTCAGACAGTGAGAAACTTATTGGGCATAAATTGATTGTAGACTGCCCCACTCGATGGAATAGTTCTTTGGACATGTTGAAGCGTGTACTGGAATAAATCCCTGCCATCATGGCTGTAGCCAATGATAAAAAGATAAACAAAAACATGTTAGACAATTTAAAAGCTTGTTGTTTGAGTTTTGAAGAATTAACAGTTTTTGAAGATCTAGTCCAGATACTTGAACCATTTCAGAGAGCTACATGTATTTTATGTGCTGAACTTATCCCAACAATGTGCAAGGTTCTAGTCCCGTTTGAAAAAATCAAAAAAATTCTTGATAATCCAAATTTCAGTAGTATTACCCAGAAGGTTGTGTCTAAAATGGAGGAACAAATATGTAAGAAAACAACAGATGAAGAAATCCCACTTATGGCTGTTAAGCTCAGTCCTAATACCAAGAATCTTAGTTTTTTGTCAGAGGCAGAAAGGATTTCAGCACATCTACTTCTTCAAGAAGCTTTGGCTGTTTCAAATGTCGGTCTTAATATTAAAAAAGAAAATGAAGACACAGTGGCAGATGACCATAGTGGGACTTCATCTGATGTTCTTCCCAAACTTCCTAGTTTGGATAATGTTACTTGTACAGATGATGAAACGTTAGACAATGGGGTCTCTTCAGCTAAAAAAAAAAACGAAATGCACAGATATGGAGGATTGGTGTGATGATGTTTTTATTGTTCATCAGGATAAAAGTTTCAATATCTGTTGCTGTAGAGAAAGGTTACTATGTATCTTGGAAGTACTAAAAGTGCTGAAGATGAAGATACCACATTGTTACAAAGGTGGCAAAAAATGAATTCCTTTTCCCTAGATTAGCTACCCTTGCACAAAAATATTTAGCAATTCCAGCCTCTTGTATACCTAGTGAGAGAGTATTTAGTCTTTGTGGGAATCTCATTACAAAAAAAAAAGATCAAGAATGAGACCTGCTCAGGTTGACACAATAGTGTTTTTGAAAATTTGAAAATGAATATGGATTTGTACTGGTGAATGTAATACAGGTACAGTGAGGTTACTAAAGTACTGTATTTTTTTTGGTACTAAAGTACTGTATTTTTTTGGTACATTTACACTGAGTTACTATGTTAAAAACTGAACAGAAAGTTCACTACTACTATTTTACTTTTATAATAGGAATAAGCTAATAGCACTCTGTTATATTTCTAGTGAATGACTGTTACTTGGATGTAACCGTTTGTGTTCACCTGCATTCCTATATTAAACTACAAAATTTTTATCAAGTGGTGTTTTTTTATTTAGAAACTTTTAAAGCTGACAAATAACTTCTTGTTTGTGATTTAATAATCAATACTAAAACACAACTACAATAATGACCTCCATTGTAAGGTATATTTATTTGAATGAAATTGCTAACACCTATGTTAGATTATCTACTTGAACATAATAACTCAGTTGAATTCTTTGTATAATCGAAATGGTGTTTCCGATTCGATAATCGATAGTGTCTTCCGTCCGATTCTGAAACACTTCTTAGAAATATTAGAATGGACTTTACGCCTTCTTGTCCAATACGATGAGTATTCCGACATGCCTCTCGTTTATGTGATTTACAAGCTAAATTTACGTCTTTTAATCAGCCAAAAAGAAAATTAGTTTATGCTAGGCTTTGATTATATGCAGTGGTGTGTGGTCTCATAGAGTCTTTAGCTTTCATGCATACCTACAACAAGTGAAATCGATCTTACCATACGTACAGTTTACTTTAATTTTTTCCGTTTCAGCCATGCTGAAGTCATGTGACCGATAGTATCTCTCACTAGAGGGCGCAGCAATGCGCGGACTTCATTAAAGTTATGTTTTTTAAAGTATACATAATACGAGTTTCAATAGATATTTCACAACACTATTGCAAGGAAGAGTGCCTAGTATAATAATGATAATGCAAGCAAACTAAACAATAGCAAATTCTAATAAAATAAACTCATGTACCGACGTTTTGCAAAGCGCACTCGGACTAAATTAACTGATTCACTTTAACTGTAAAAAATAAAATGTATGAAAGAATAAATACACTATTAAATATATTCAATCACAAATGCCATTCAATTATAAGATCAACAAGATGTGTTTGTGAAACACTGATGCCCCCGTATGGCAGCTTATGGCGAAGGTTAAAAGTTTCTCAAATGCAAGTCAAAATCCAGACCAAAAGATAAAAAATGTTGGTACCCAAAGAAAGGTCTTGTGTCGAGGAATATACCTGTGAAATTTGAAAGACCTAGCTGCAACTGATCAAAAGTTAGGGAGAAGGTTAAAGTTTTTTAAAAGTAAGTAAAACGTCAAGGTCAAAGTGGTTGGTATCCAAAGAAAGGTTATGTCACAAGGATTACGTATGTGAAGTATGAAAGCCCTAGCATCAACCATTCAAAAGTTATGTCCAAGGTTAAAGTTTTTCAAAAGTAGGTCAAACTCCTAGGTCAAGGTCAAAAGGACAAAGTTGTTGGTATCCAAAGGAAGGCCTAGTTACAAAGAAGTTTTTCAAAAGTAAGTCAAACTCCTATGTCAAGGTCAAAGTGGTTGGTATCCAAAGGAAGGTTATGTCATAAGGATTACATATGTGAAGTAACAAAGCCCTAGCATCAACCATTCAAAAGTTATGGCCAAGGTTAAAGTCTCCTAAAAGTTTGCAACAGTGGGTCAAACTCCAAGGTCAAGTTCAAATATGATGGTACCCAAAGAAAGGTCTTGTCACAAGGAATACACACGTGAAATATGAAAGTCATAGCTCCAACCAATCGAAAGTTATGGGCAAGGTTAAAGCTGACAACAGACAGACAAACGGACAAACAGACAGACAGGACAAAAACAATATACTCCCGGGATCTTTCGATCCCGAGGCATAATAAAAAAGAAAGTGAGACAAATCGAGCTTTACAACAACCACACGCTTAGAATAAATTCTACGAAAACTTGTAGAAAACAGCAGTTCACATTTAAAATTTTAATTGAAATATATTAACTGGCCAGTTTCTATGGTTATCGGGATATCTGATACGTCGGGATGGTCAAACCTGCATCTATTTTACGCGTCCAGCATTCTTATCTCGGAATTTTAGTAGAGAACAACGAAAAACAAAGCAGCTAAAAAAGAAAAATTTTTTTTTCTCTGAGGAATCAGTTTCATTGTGAATTCAGTTTCACAGTAATACGTCCAAGCAACGTACAGGAGAGCTGCAAATTTATACCAATACTTGGCACTCATGGCCATTGAGCAGTGAGGGATCTTTATCGTGCCAACGCCTGCCGTGACACGGGGCCTCGGTTTTTAAGGTCTCGTCCGAAGGACCCGCAACGTTCACTTCAAAGTGCCGACTGCCTGGCGAAGAAACAATGCTACCTATTTTTTATCGACTTAGGTAGGTCGCGGCCGAGATGCGAACTCACGGCCTTCCGATCACGGAGCGGATAAAAGAAATGAATTTGGTATCAGTAAAATTGAATTAACATTTATCAGTAAAATTGAATTAACATTTAAAAAAAAAATCAAATATAAACGAGTTACGCGTATTTCTGAGGCCCCCAAGAGAAATTACTCTCTTCTAATCTACCTCTGTGCAACAATGTTTTACTGTGAAAAGAAAATTACCCTGATTTTCTTGATTTTGGTGGTTAAAAACTCTTTCCTAGCCACGAAAATGCAACATTAATTGATTGCCAATGACAAAAAATTAAGTGTTCTATTATTGTCTTGAAAAATATATTTTTTGTTAGAATAACCCGATTCTTTTTTTTTTTTTAAATTCGTGAAGGAAACGGAAGAAGAAACGCATTTCGAAGGCGAACTAGAGGGATTAAAAACTTTTAAGTTTTATATTTCATCACGTGATTCACAGAAACCTGTAGGTTAAAGGGTTGAGTTGTATGCATTGGATAAGTTGCTTCGAAGCTAGTGCGTCGGAATAATTGGAAGATTTAAAGTTTGATTCTTGGACATGATTTACACTTTAAAATATTTATGAGATCAAGTTGAACACAAGCTTGGAAAATTACATTGTCATTATCATGTATAACTCTGAGATTTTGGGATAGCGAACAAGGTCGAGGTTAACTTATTTTATTATCTTGAGTAACTCATATAGATTTGAGGGGTCATTTGTGATAGTCAAAGACAGGACTAAGATAACCGAAGAGAACATTGTGGCTCATGGGCTACTTCTTACGAGTTGCAAAAAAAAAAAAATAACCTGTGTTGACTCCTTAAGAAACCAATCGTAATTTTGTAATTTATTCCTAAATAAATGCACACATATCTGTTATTTAATGTTACATGTTGTTCAAGGGAAAACGCTAAAATAGAATCAGTTCTATAGCACAGGTTCAGAATCTCTGATGCATCTATTTTTAGAATTCCTTATCAGTAGAGCTTGCATACTAGTTACTGACCCAGTTGTTTCTTTGTTTACATGAGTAAAATAGTGGCTTGAATTCTTACTTTCTGGTGTAAACTAAGTAATAACATTGCTAACTTGTGTAAAAAGGGTGCAACAAAACACTGTTGTCATGGCATCTGCAATAGTGACTCACGTTATGCACACAAAGATTATATGCAAGGAGTTGAGTTCAGTTCATTAGATTTCCCAAACCTTGGAGAGATATTGAAAAGTGTAAACGATGGGTGAATGCATGTAAACGGGAAGAATTTTCAACTGCAAATGTCACGAAGGACACATATATATGCAGCAAGCACTTTGTTGGAGGAAAAGGGCCAACAAATGAACATCCAGACCCTCTTCCTGCAACTGCAACCGAATCTGAAGTAACTTAGTACAGCAAATTATTAATGTGTGTTGAACTTTTGTGTTTACATATATATGTAGAAAAATATGTATTGCATATGTTTTCATCTGTTGTATTTTATATGTATTGACAGATCAAAAAATGCACAACAAAGCGTAAACGTCCAACTGTAAGACAAGAAATCTCACATCTCAGGAAAATGGCAAGAAAATCTCTTCATCAAGAATTAGAAGTGACTGAATTCATAGAAAATACAAGTACAACTGAGTCCATACCTCAGTGTCCAAGTACCTGTCAAACTTCAGATATAATGACAGATAAATGCTTTCAAGTCAAACCTCAGGAAGCATCAATGAGTACCCAAACTGAGAGGAACATAAACATTGAATTAGAGGTTAGAATTGAAAATTCGATGTTAAAAAACAAAGTAAAATTGCTCCAAAATGAAGTTGATCATCTGAAAACATCCAGTAGTCTAAAGATACCAAGCAAACCAAAAACCTCTGTAGAAACTTCGAGCGAGTTTACTTTTGATAACATAATGAAGGATGAAGAGAAGTTCAAATACTTTACAGGATTAACCATTTCACAATTTATGTGTTTGTGGGAGTATCTAGGACCTTCCAGAAATAAGCTTGTTTATTGGAACAGTGATTGTGAATATCCAGACAGATCATCAATCAAGAGACCTGGTCCAAAGCACAAACTTGAACCAAAAAATGAACTGTCCATGACACTCATGAGGCTAAGACATGGATTTGTTGTTGAAGATCTATCATACAGACTTAATGATAGCACCTCAATGGTTTCTAGAATAATTCTCACATGGGTTCAGTTTTTATATAAAAGATTTCTTCCTCTCAGATCAAAAATGTTTCCAAGTAGATCTCACTTGAGCAAGTTTGCACCAAAGTCTTTCAAAAAGTACAAAAATATAAGGTGTATTATAGATTGTACAGAGGTACTTGTTCAACAACCTAGAGATTTTGGTAAACAGGGAAATTGTTATTCTTCATACAAGGGTCACATATAAATTTCTTGTTGCAATTGCACCAAATGGAGCAATTGTTTTTGTTCCCGATGCATTTGAAGGATCAATTTCTGATAAAGACATTGTCATCAAGTCAGGTTTTATAGATTTTTTAGAGAATGGTGAGGTAATAATGGCAGATCGTGGTTTTGTAATTGATGACTTATAAATGACACGGGGTGCAATACTTGTTTTGCCTCCATTATTAGGAGGAAGAGCAAAACTTAGTGCTCAGGAGGAGGCAAGCACGAAGGACATAGCAGAACATTGCATCCATGTAGAACGCACCATAGAGAGAATGAAAAAATTCAGAATTTTACAGAAAACAATACCATTGTCATTAGAGCCAGTATTTTTAAGAAATAAACAACAATGTTAAAAAGTTCTCTGGGAAATGAACTTGGTTGGTCACGTGATCAAATCCTGTGAAGCCCGAAGGGCTTCTCAGAAGATTTGATCACGTACCAACTGAGTTCATTTCCCAGTGAACTTTTTAACATTGTTGTTTATTACTTTTATTTACATTTGAGACGAATATTCTGAATAGGACTGCATTTATTACACGAACGGCCCGCCGTATTGCTATGTTGTGACGCGCAATGACCTAGAAGTTGTTTAGTCTTGAGAGTTCGCCTCGCTCCAACATTTGAATACTTACATTGATGTTTAGCAGTCCAGTTCAGGAAATATCTGTTCATAATGAAAAAACAATGATCGCTTCTGGGAATTATCTTACTATTATTGTACGAGTTCTTTATATATAAAGTCAAAAGCGGTGCTATCGTCTTCAGTTTACATACCTTCAAAGGAATTTCGGGTTAAAGAGGTAAGCGTGATTTTAGGCTAATTAGAAACATTCTTCACACCGAAGAAAGATCTAACGATCATTTGTTGAACGAAAAAAAAATATATGTGTCAATAATTTTATCTTTTTCATCGCTTTGACGGTTCAGAAGTTCCGAAACCAGTGTCACTGTGACAGAAATATGTAGACAAGATATCGTCTCGCTGTGTGATTCGGTCACGCCATGACCTCTGACCCCCTAATAAGTTCATACAGAATTGAACATATTTTCTCTTCTATAGGTTCATCTAAGAAAAATATTTGCAAATGTAAATAATCTCAATTAATATTTTTTGTAGGTTGTTTGGTTAATTTTCAAGATCCAATAGTTAAATAAATGTATGTGAAGTTAATGAGATTTTTTTTATTTATTCCGGGGTTTATATTTAAATAATAGTTAAATCATATTAAATAAAATTTTAGTGATTTGAGGAGATATACAGAGTTAAGCCATTAAAATTCTTCTCATTTGCTAAAATTTTACTTTCTATGATCTACATACTTAGAACATAACCTGTTTTACTTTGGCTGATCAAAAGTTTTGCGCTAATCAAATATTTTTATTCCTTTGTTTTTCTTTCTCAAAGCATCTCGCATGACTGTATTTACACAGAAAGGTGGTTTTAACAAGTGAATTCATAGAATCTTTAGTGACTGCTGATTGGATATGAAAGCAGGGTATGTTCTAGTAAGAAAGAAAAAAAACATATATCTGAGGACACATAAAACTTTATTCTTTAAACCACAATTATGTCATTTTACTCTGATATATCAATTGGTTCTAGTCTCCTTGGAATTCTAAACTCAAAATACTCAGGACAAAGTCTAGTATGATGAAATTTTACAAGTTTTTGAGCTAAACTTTCCCAAAAGGTTTTGTCAAACCTGATTCTTTCACAGAAAGATCCTTTGGAAGACCAGACATAAAAATCACACCAATTACGACCCATTATTCCTAACTGCATTTGAACTTGAAAATAATAGTCATGGTTTCGCTTTAGATCAATGGTTCCACTTTTTTTCCAAAATTTGATTTCTGTGAACCAGACAAAAATGAATCAAACGTTTCAATTTCTGTATCTTTAAGGATGTATGGACATTTTATTTCCACTACACCATGTATGTCTCCATTCTGCTCACTAGGATCGGTTACCAATCCATCTGGACAACATCCTAGTTCTGGATTCTTTGGAGTTACCCAGAATCCTGTCGTACAGGCTTCAAATAAAGGAGTAGCATCTTTCTTTGAACTAGTATAATGTGAAAAAGCAAGTGATTCCTTTTCAATCCCATAAAGCATTGCTCTAGTTTGATATGAAGTAGATGGATACATAATGTTTGACAAAGTATTTGTGATGGCTGAGTCGAATTTAAGTGTAGCCACTGTCTTTGATTTTGAAGCTGTCATTCGGACACGTCGATGACAGTTCCACTCATCACACCGCTGAGAAGATATAATTTCCGTGGGATCTGTGTCTAAGGACAGCGAAAGATTTTCCAAAAGCAACTTGCGTTTATTCCTCAGCTCTTCTGCATGCACGTCATCTATGTCATAATCTTCATAATTCGTTTCAAAGCGTTTAAGAGGCATAATTTGGACATTGTAAGGCCTATGATCATAAAACTTTGTAAGTTGATGCATCTTTGGTCCTCAAAAAACGTCAACTGAAAAGTGGGTCACCATCACCATTTATATGACTATAATTAAATATTTCAGGTACTTGTTGGCTTAGAATCATCAATCTTTATCAGTTGATGCATCTTGGGTCTTCATAGTAGGTCGACTGAAAAGTAAGTCACTGTGACCTACTTTTGGAAATTTATGGCGTTAATTAAATATCTCGGGTACAAATTGGCTTAGAATCGTCAAACTTTGTTAGTTGATGCATCTTGTGTTCTCGGAGTGGGGTCCTTCGGATGAGACCTTAAAAACCGAGGCCCCTTGTCACGGCAGGCGTTGGCACGTTAAAGATCCCTTGCTGCTCAATGGCCCTGAGTGCCGAGTAAACGTCAAAATTTGAAGCCTTTCACCGGTATATGGTGACGTCTCTATATGAGTGAAAAATTCTCGAATGGGACGTAAAACAACATACAATCAATCAATCAATGTTCTCGGAGTACAACTGAAAAGTAGGTCACAGTGATCTACTTTTGAAAATTTATGGCTTTAATTAAATATTTCAAGTACTAATTGGCTTAGAATCATCAAACTTTGTTAGTTGATGCATCTTGGGTCTTTGAAGTAAGACAACTGAAAAGTAGGTCACCGTGACCTACTTTTGAAATGTTATGGCTGTATTCGGGTACTATTTGGCTTAGAATCAGCAAACTTTGTCATTTAATTCATCTTGGGTCCTCGCAGTAGGTTGACTGAAAAGTAGGTCTCCATGACCTACTTTTCAATTTATGTGACTATAATTAAATATTTCGGGTACTAATTGGCTAAGAATCATCAAACTTTGTCAGTTGATGCATCTTGCGTCTTCGGAGTAGGTCGACTGAAAAGTAGGTCATTATGACCTTTTTTTGAAAATTTTTGGCTGTAATTAAATATTTCAAGAACTAATTGGCTTAGAATCATCAAACATTGTCAGTTGATGCATCTTAAATCCGCAGAGTTAGTCGACTGAAAAGGAAGTCACTGTGACCTATTTTTGAAATTTTATGGCTTTATTTAAATATATCAGGTACTTATTAGCTTAGAATCATCAAACTTTGTCAGTTGATGTTTCTTGGGTCCTCAAAGTATGCCATCTGAAAAGTAGGTCACTGTGACTTACTTGTGAAAGTTTATGGTTTTAATTTTAAAAATATTTTAAGTATTAATTAGTTTAGGATCATCAAACTTAGTTGATGCATCTTGGGTCCTCAGAGAATGACAAGTGATAAGTAGGTCACCATGACCAACTCTCAGGTACTAATTGGCTTAGAATCATCTTGGGTTCTCAGAGTGTTTCATCTAAAATGTAGGTCATGATGACCTACCTTTGGAATATCAAGGGTTTACATAAATATACAGGATACTTAGAGGCTTCAAATAGAAGTGATAGGTTGTACAGTTTATCAGAAGAGCGATTCAAGGCCCTTGGGCCTCTTGTTTTTTTTCCAAAACTATCTCTCAATGATGTTGACCTGGATCTAGATCTTGAACGTGACTTGTGTTCATCAACGTTTTTTCTCATCTCAAATTTACACGCCATGTTTACATTTGGAACTCTCTGGATTGTTTGTGGAATATGCACTGAGTTCGAGTTATCGCCCGTGTTTATTTTGCAACACTGTAAATACACGGAACGAATTCTATCGTTAAACCGGGTCCGTAGGACTATCTTTTTAACGATAGAACATTCTATTTAGATTCACATGTACATACAATAAATTACACATGTACATACGGCAATATAAAACGACGCCAACATTCAATAATCAGAAGAAATATTAGAAGAGATAAAACATCTAAACTCTATTTTATTAAATCATGCATGTACATATAACATAAAACATCTAAACTCTATTTTATTAAATCATGCATGTACATAAATATATTAAAAAGATGTCATCTTTAATTAACCTTAAAAATTCAGATAAAAATATTTTCTACCGTGTATAAGAAGAGATAAAAACGTCTAGTTAAAATTAAATTAAAACACAATTTAAAACATTGGTTCACATGAAATATTTTTTGTTGAAATGGTCCAGTATGGTAACAAATTTATTTGCGTTCATTAAAATTCAAATGAGAGCTATCCCAGCTTTCTTGAAACCGTTATAAACTTTCTCTGGATTTCTCTTTAGGTAGGATATGGCTGAATGAAGCCACTTTGCACTGAGTGGTTTGAGAACGGACATTCCAAGATTAACATCCAATTCATCACCAGCTTTGAGTTTCGCTGCGACCTTTTCAGCATACCACGTTTCAAACTGTTCACGCATATGGTCTTTAACAATCTTTTGAACACTCAAGTCCATTGGTTGAAGTTCTGAGGTACAGTTCGGTGGGACGTACACATAAACAAGACCCAGTTTTTTCATACGATATCTGAATTCCTCGGAAAGTTGTGCACTAAAAAAGTCTAAAATGATCAGAGCCTTTTGGCGCAAAGGCAGGTCTAGTTCATCCCTCACTTTGTTTACGTATGGTATGATGATCTTGTCAAGATAACGAAAACTAGTTTCTTTGTTCGCCCAATGATTATCTGTGTGAGTAACGTCCCAGTCTCTAGGAAAATTATATTTTGCATGACAGGCATCTGTTTTCCCTTTATAAATTACTTGCGGTGGCAGAATATCTCCGCTCAAAGCTCCGGCCATAATTTTTTAAATATGCAGTATTGAGCAAGATGCATTGCTTTAAATAAATTAAGCCTATTAATTATGATTTAAGAATTGTCATTCACAATTATATAATTATTCTTACCTGTGATTTCACGTTTGTTGTCCAAGCCAACGATGTTTACTTTGTCACACCCATTCTCCGCCATTGTCCAT